CTCTCTCCTTTTCCCAGCTTTACCCCCAGGCGCTGCCCCCCCCCCGCCGCCCCTCCCGGTGTCCGGTGCCGCTCCGGGGCCACTCGGGGGCCCCGCAGCCACCGGCGCCACCGCCCTGCCCGCCGGGGCCGCCCCCTCCCCTCCTCTCCTTCCTCCTCCTCCTCCTCCTCCTCCAGCGGCCGCCGCCCCCCTCCCCAACGGCACAAAAATCCGCTCGGCAGAAGGGGAGGAAAAAAAAAAAAAAACCCCCAAAAAAAAAAAAAAAAAAAGGAAAAAAAAAAAAAAAAAAGAGAGGGGAATTAAAAATTTATCTATTTAAAAAAAAAGAGGGGCGAAGCTCGGGGGGCGAAGCGGAGCCGGCAGCGCGGCCGGAGCCCCCCGGAGCCCCCCGGAGCCCCCGGCCCACCATGAACAAGCTGTACATCGGGAACCTGCCCGAGGGCGTCACCGCGGCCGAGCTGGAGAAAGTGTTCGCCGAGCACCAGATCTCCTTCAGCGGGCAGTTCCTCGTCAAGTCCGGCTATGCCTTTGTGGACTGCCCCGACGAGCAGTGGGCCATGAGAGCCATCGAAACTTTCTCGGGTGAGGCGCGCCGCCCGGCCCGAGCCCAGCCCCACACCCCAACCCCGAACCCCCGAAGCCCAAACCCCCGAATCTCCGAACCCCCGAATCTCCGAACCTCCAAACCCCCTCATCCCAAACCCCCGAATCCAGCCCCTCCCCCCTCCAACCCCGTCGGGGCCGCCCCCCCGCTTTTTGTCCCTTCCCAAAATCCCGGACACGGAGCGACCCCAAAGCCGGGACCCCCCAGCCCCTCCCCCCTCCAACCCCGTCGGGGCCGCCCCCCCGCTTTTTGTCCCTTCCCAAAATCCCGGACACGGAGCGACCCCAAAGCCGGGGGGTCCCCCCGGGGGTCCCCCCGAGCCGCCCCCCCGGACTTTGCCCGTCCGGGTCGGGGGCGAGGTCGCCATGCTGGGAAAAGCTTGGGGAGAGGGGATTTGGGAGCAAACCGGGAATTTTGAGGCTTTTTAAATTTATTTTTTTTTCCCCCCTCCTCTCCATCTTCTTCCTCCCGGGTTCTTCCCCCTCCTCTGATTTTTTCTTCTTTTTCGCTACTCCCTCCTCAAAAAAAATTATAAAAATAAATTAAATTAAAGATCGCGGAGTGACCCCGCAGCGAGGGAATCCCGCTCCATTTTCCGGGAGAAATCCATTCCTGTGGAATTCCCGAGACTTTCGGTGGGAAAAAGGGAGGGAATTTGCTCCAAAAACTTTTCCTGGAGGGCTGAAAGAAAAGGGGGGAATTCTCCAAATCCACCCCCCAAAAAAAAACCCCCCCAAATCTCATCCCTGGAATCCTGGGCTGGAGCGAGGGGTGAAATATTCCCAAGGAACAATTCCAGAGGCACCACTCCCCCCTGGAAGCTCGCATTCCATAAAAACCCACTTGTGAGGAGCCGGGGGGGCTGGATTTGGGTGGAATTCGGGTGAATTTGGGATGAATTCCGCGGGGAAATTCCCCTTTTTTGAAAATTCCACCCTTTATCCCGAGGTTTCCCTCCCGGATTTTCCATGTTTTCCATGTTTTTAGGGAAAGTGGAGCTCCACGGGAAGCAGCTGGAGATCGAACACTCCGTGCCCAAAAAGCAAAGGTAAACGTGGAGTTTTCATTGATTTTTAATTGGTTTTAAATTGGTTTTTAATCGTTACCGTCGGAATTATTAATTGGTGTTGGCGAGGGGAAAATAGGAGAGGAAAAAGGCAAAAATTTCCACGGAAAAATGTGAAAAATGAAGAAGTGTCGGAGGTTTTGGGCTGGGATTTACCCCCAGAAAAGCCGAATTTAATTAATTCATGAAACATTCCGTGAATTCATTGATTTTTTTCCTTTCAAAGAAAACTCGATCTGCGAGTTTTTCATTAAAATAAAAAGGGGAGGAAAAGGTGAAATAAATAATTCTCCACGTGCTGCCCGAGGTGATGGATGGCTTTGGGCTGGGAATTCCAAACTTGTGGAAGAATTTCCCGGCTCTTTTTGGAGCCTGGGCTGGGAAATGAGGGCAAATCCTTTCTTTTGGGAGAAGGGAAAATTAAAAAAAAAAAAAAAAATTAAAAATTTATCTATTTTTTTCAAAAAATCCGATTTTAAAAAGTGAATTTTGCTAGGAAAAAAAAAAAAAAAAAAAAAAGAACAAAACCAGCACGTGGCCGCTGAGGGCGGGCAGGGATGAAACCTGAATTCCGGGGATTTTGGGGTGAAAAGCGGCCTTTTTGGGGTTTCCCAGGATCTGCCTCTCCCGCCCATCCCTCTCCATCTTCCCCGGCCTTTGTTGTTCCCGGCTGGAGCCGGGAGCGCTCTGGAAAATCCTCCCCGCGCTCCGAATTCCCGGAAAACCCCTCCAGTCCCGGCCGCATTTGGGGTTTTTTTTTCCCAGAAATTCTCCCTTTTTCCCCTGGGATTTTCGCCCCCCTAAGCGGCGGAATTCCCGGAATTCCCGATCCCAAAGATTCCACGTCGGACCCAAATCCATCGCCACGTGACGGAGGCGCCTTTTCCAAAGGGGAAAAAGAGGGGAGGGAGCGACGCCGGCGCTTCCCGGCCCCAAATTCCCAAAATCCCAGCACAAAACTCCCAAAATCCCAGCCCCAAATTCCCAAAATCCCAGCCAGGAGCATCCCAAAATCGCAGCCCCAAATTCCCAAAATTCCAACCCTAAACGTTCCAAAATCCCAACCCTAAATTCCCCAGAATCCCGGCCCCAAAATCCCGAACCTAAACTCCCCAAAATCCTGGCCCCAAATTCCCAAAATCCCGGCCCCCAAATTCCCAGAATCTCAGCCCCAAATTCCCAGAATCTCAGCCCCAAATTCCCAAAAATTCAAACCCTAAATCCCCCAACCAAAATCCCGGCCCCCAAATTCCCAGAATCTCAGCCCCAAATTCCCCAAAATTCCAACCCTAAACTCCCCAAAATCCTGGCCCCAAATTCCCAAAATCCCGGCCCCCAAATTCCCAGAATCTCAGCCCCAAATTCCCCAAAATTCCAACCCTAAACTCCCCAAAATCCTGGCCCCAAATTCCCAAAATCCCGGCCCCCAAATTCCCAGAATCTCAGCCCCAAATTCCCCAAAATTCCAACCCTAAACTCCCCAAAATCCTGGCCCCAAATTCCCAAAATCCCGGCCCCCAAATTCCCAGAATCTCAGCCCCAAATTCCCCAAAATTCCAACCCTAAACTCCCCAAAATCCTGGCCCCAAATTCCCAAAATCCCGGCCCCCAAATTCCCAGAATCTCAGCCCCAAATTCCCCAAAATTCCAACCCTAAACTCCCCAAAATCCTGGCCCCAAATTCCCAAAATCCCGGCCCCCAAATTCCCAGAATCTCAGCCCCAAATTCCCCAAAATTCCAACCCTAAACTCCCCAAAATCCTGGCCCCAAATTCCCAAAATCCCGGCCCCCAAATTCCCAGAATCTCAGCCCCAAATTCCCCAAAATTCCAACCCTAAACTCCCCAAAATCCTGGCCCCAAATTCCCAAAATCCCGGCCCCCAAATTCCCAGAATCTCAGCCCCAAATTCCCCAAAATTCCAACCCTAAACTCCCCAAAATCCTGGCCCCAAATTCCCAAAATCCCGGCCCCCAAATTCCCAGAATCTCAGCCCCAAATTCCCCAAAATTCCAACCCTAAACTCCCCAAAATCCTGGCCCCAAATTCCCAAAATCCCGGCCCCCAAATTCCCAGAATCTCAGCCCCAAATTCCCCAAAATTCCAACCCTAAACTCCCCAAAATCCTGGCCCCAAATTCCCAAAATCCCGGCCCCCAAATTCCCAGAATCTCAGCCCCAAATTCCCCAAAATTCCAACCCTAAACTCCCCAAAATCCTGGCCCCAAATTCCCAAAATCCCGGCCCCCAAATTCCCAGAATCTCAGCCCCAAATTCCCCAAAATTCCAACCCTAAACTCCCCAAAATCCTGGCCCCAAATTCCCAAAATCCCGGCCCCCAAATTCCCAGAATCTCACCCCAAATTCCCAGAATCTCAGCCCCAAATTCCCCAAAATTCCAACCCTAAACTCCCCAAAATCCTGGCCCCAAATTCCCCAAAATCCCAACCCCAAACCTCCCAAAATCCCGGCCCCAAACTCCCCCAAATCCCGACCCCAAACTTCCCCAAATTCCCAAAATCCAAACCCCAAATTTCTCCAAAATCCCAGCCTGAAATTCCCCAAAACCCCGGCCCCAGCTTCCCAAAATCCCTGCCCTAAACTTCCCAAAATCCCAACCCCAAATCCCCTCAAATCCCTCCTTTTCCCGACCCCTCCCTGCCCCCTTTTGGGATCGCCCCCTTTGGCCTCCCCTCAAAATCCCAAAACCTGGGAGGGGGCTGATCCCAAAAAGGGCGATCCCAAATCCAACCGGGAATTCCCCAGCCCCGTTTTCCCGGATTTTTGGGGGATAATTCTAATTTTTATTAATTTTTCCCCCCCTTCCTCATAATTTTTGTTGCTGCGGCTTCGGTGTCCAGGGATGGGGGGGAATATTGGGATGGAATTCCATGAAAAGTTCAAAATATCCCTTAAAAAAAACCTGGAAAATCCAATTTCCCACCCCCCACTTCGGTTAATCAATAATTTGGGGGAGGAGAGGAGCAGATTTCCCCCCCCTCCCCGAAAAAATATTCCCTAAAAAATGAGAAAATTCCTTTGGGATCTGGGATTTAAAGTTCTGGGAAAAAGGGAGAAAAAAATCCTTTAAAATATTTTGGGATTTGGATTTGTTTTCCTCCTGAGATTCCCTAAAAACGCTTGGATTGGGCTGGAAAATCCCTTTTTTTTTGGTTTTTTTTTGGTTTTTTTGGGGTTAAAATCCGGGGGCCCTCCCCCCCTCCGGGGCTGCTCTTAAAGGGCCAGCGCCGCTTTTCCCTCTTCGCCCTCCTGGGAGATTTTGGGGGATTTTGGGAGCGTCCTGGACGCTCTGGGGAGGGATTTGGTGATTTTGGGAGTGGGAAAAGCGATTTTGGGGCTGATTTCAAGGAATTCTTTTTATGGAGAAATTGAGGAATTCCTGGTGTCCCGTTCCTGCCAGGAATTCCTGGTGTCCCATTCCCGTTTGGAACAGGGAATTCCTGGAGTCCCTTTCCTTTTGGGAACAAGGAATTCCTGGTGTCCCCTTCCCATTGGGAATTCCTGGAGTCCCATTCCCGTCAGGAATTCCTGGTGTCCTGTTCTTGTCAGGAATTCCTGATTTCCCATTCCCATCGGGAATTCCTGGTGTCCCGTTCCCCTCAGGAATTCCTGGTGTCCCATTCCCGTTCCTGTCAGAATTCCTGGTGTCCTTTCCCCTTCCCATCGGGAATTCCTGGAGTCCCATTCCCGTCAGGAATTCCTGGTGTCCTGTTCTTGTCAGGAATTCCTGATTTCCCATTCCCATCGGGAATTCCTGGTGTCCCGTTCCCCTCAGGAATTCCTGGTGTCCCATTCCCCTTTGGAACAGGGAATTCCTGGAGTCCCTTTCCTGTCAGGAATTCCTGGTGTCCTGTTCTTGTCAGGAATTCCTGGTGTCCCGTTCCCATTGGGAATTCCTGGTGTCCTTTTCCATTCCTGTCAGAATTCCTGGTGTCCCATTCCTGTCAGAATTCCTGGTGTCCCATTCCTGTCAGAATTCCTGGTGTCCTGTTCTTGTTCCCATCAGGAATTCCTGGTTCCTTTCCCATTCCCATCAGGAATTCCTGGTGTCCCGTTCCTGTCAGAATTCCTGGTGTCCCTTTCCCATCAGGAATTCCTGGTGTCCCGTTCCTGTCAGAATTCCTGGTGTCCTTTCCCATCGGGAATTCCTGGTTCCTTTCCCATTCCCATCAGGAATTCCTGGTGTCCCATTCCCATCAGGAATTCCTGGTGTCCCGTTCCCATCAGGAATTCCTGGTGTCCCGTTCCCATCAGGAATTCCTGGTGTCCCGTTCCCATTCCCATCAGGAATTCCTGGTGTCCCGTTCCTGTCAGAATTCCTGGTGTCCCGTTCCCATCAGGAATTCCTGGTGTCCCGTTCCCATCAGGAATTCCTGGTGTCCTGTTCCCATCAGGAATTCCTGGTTCCTTTCCCATTCCCATCAGGAATTCCTGGTGTCCCATTCCCATCAGGAATTCCTGGTGTCCCGTTCCCATCAGGAATTCCTGGTGTCCCGTTCCCAAAGCCCCTCCCAGTTTCCCCCCCGCAGTCGGGGCCGGGATTTTCCAGCCGGGATCGGAGCGGGATCCGAGCTCCTCGTTCCCATCAGCTCCCGGAATTCCCAGACTGCAGATTCCCTGGATCCCAGGGGATTTGGGATCCGGTCCCACGGGCCCCAAACACTCCCAGAAATCCCAGACTTTTGGGATTCCCAGGAATCCCAGGGGATTTGGGATCCCCGCAGGGAAATTCCGGCTCCCTCCATGGAGGGGATCCAGAGGAATTCCCGATTTTCCCTCCTCGCTGCCTCGGGAAGTGTTGGTTTTAGGGCTCCAGACTTTGGGAATTCCGGGCTTTTTGTGGAGGCTCCGGTCTCCATCCCAGCTCCGCGTTTTTCCTGGAATTTCGCCAGCGCAGCTCCGGCTTTGCCTCGACTCCCGCAGAATTCCGGAGCCGTGGGATCAGCCCTGGCTGTGCAGGGAACTCCCTGTAGTTCAACAATCCTAATTAATCCATCCTAATTAATCGATCCTAATTAATCGATCCTAATTAACCGATCCAAATAATTCCCAGCTTGAGGAATCCCGAATTCCTGGAGCCGCCACCTGCCGGGGGTGGGGAAGAGGGGCTGGAATTTGGGATTTTCCCTTCCCTCCAGGGCTGTCCATCCCTATCCCAAACATTCCTTGGAATTCCTGGATGTCCCACCCCGCCGGGATCTCCCGAGGGGATTTTTGGGGCTGTTGGATAAATATCGACATGGGAATTTCTGGGATTTGTGTTTTCTTTCCCAGGAGTGCATCCAGGGGAATTTTGGGATCTTCCCGTGGTTCCTGTTCCCAAAAAAATCTCCCCAAAATCGACCGGAGGAGCCCCAAATCCCCTGGAGCGGATTGGGATTCCTGAGCAGGAAAATCCCGGTGGATCTGATGGAATTTTGATGGAATTTTGATGGAATTTTGATGGAATTATTCCTGCCGTTCAGGGGTTGGGAATCGGGAAGAGCCGAATTCAGGAGCAGCCGGCGGGGTTGGGAGCCACGCCTGGAAAAAACGTGGATTTGGGAATGTTCCTCATCCCTCCCTGCTCCCTTTGGGATTCCCGGTCCTTCCCAAATCTGGGAAAAGCCAAATCCACCCCGGGAATCCGAGCAGCGCCGGAGGGATTCTGGAATTCTGCTCCTGATGGGATTCTGGAATTTCCCTCCCAGAGGGATTCTGGAATTTCCCTCCCACAGGGATTCTGGAATTCTGCTCCTGATGGGATTCTGGAATTCTGCTTTCAGAAGGATTCTGGAATTTTCCCTCCCAGAGGGATTCTGGAATTCCACTCCTGGAGGAATTCTGGAATTCTGCTCCCAGAGGGATTCTGGAATTCCACTCCCAGCAGGATTCTGGAATTTAACTTCCAGCAGGATTCTGGAATGTTGTTCCCAAAGGAATTCTGGGATTCCACTCCCAGCAGGATTCTGGAATTTCCCTCCCAGAGGGATTCTGGAATTCCGCTCCCAGCAGGATTCTGGAATTTCCCTCCCAGAGGAAATCTGGAATTCCGCTCCCAGCAGGATTCTGGAATTCCGCTCCCAGCAGGATTCTGGAATGTTGTTCCCAAAGGAATTCTGGAATTCCGCTCCCAGCAGGATTCTGGAATTTCCCTCCCAGAGGAAATCTGGAATTCTGCTCCTGAAGGGATTCTGGAATTCCGCTCCCGATGCAATTCCAGCCGCACAACGAGCTGGGATCCGCCAGGACTCCCTGGGAACACCTGGAATTTTAGGGCTCACTCAGATCCATGGATTGCCCCAGCCCAAATCCCGCTTTTTCCCTCCTTGCAGGAGCCGGAAGATCCAGATCCGGAACATTCCGCCGCAGCTGCGATGGGAGGTGAGGGCAGGGATGGCGCTCCGGGATTCCACCCTCGGGATCAAAGCTGGATTTCCCTCCTCTTTGTCATTAATTGGCTCTTAATTACCCCCGGACCGGCCCTGGAAATCCCGGGAAAGCGACACCGCCCGGAGCCCCCGCTGATTCCGCCATTCCCATTAATTCCCGTTAATTTGTGATTCCTCCATTGTAGCGGGAATAAAACGGATCCGCGCTTCCCGCTGGGAATTCCCGGCCTCTGCTTTCCCCTCCCACTGGCTCCTGGAGCATCCAGGCCTTAATTACTCGGGAATCCTTAATGATCCTGGTGGAATTCTTAACGATCCTAATGACCCCCAGGTGTGGATGGGGCTTCCCGGGATATCCCGGCGTGAACTGGGATTGATTTTCCCCTTTTTTCCGTTTTTCCCAGGTTTTGGACGGGCTGCTGGCCCAGTACGGCACCGTGGAGAGCTGTGAGCAGGGTAGGAGCAGGGGATTTGGGGAATTTCGTCCGGATTGGGGGAATTTCGTCCGGATTTGGGGAATTTCATCCGGATTTTGGGAATTTCTGCTCCTGAGAAGGAAACAAAGTCCAGATTTCAGGAATTTCTGCTCAGTTTCAGAGGGAGAAGGGAAAAAACCCCAAATTTCTGGAATTTCTGCCCCGTTTCAGCAGGAAGAGGGAATAAACCTCAGATTTTGGGAATTTAATCTGGATTTTGGGATTCTGCCCCGTTTCAGGGAGAGGGAGAAATAAAACCTGGATTTGGGAGATTTCTGTAGGGAATAAAACCTGGATTTGGGGGATTTCTGTAGGGAATAAAACCTGGATTTGGGGGATTTCTGTAGCGAATAAAACCTGGATTGGGGGATTTCTGTAGGGAATAAAACCTGGATTTTTGGGAATTCCTGCCCCCTTTTCAAGGGGGGAGGGAATAAAAACTGATCCCTGTTTCTTTTCCCCAATTCCCGGCTCCTTTTCCCCAATCCCTGCCTGCGTTCCCGAATTCCCGCAGTGAACACGGACAGCGAGACCGCCGTGGTGAACGTCACCTACGCCAACCGGGAGCAGACGCGGCAGTGAGTGCCCCGGGAATCCGGGAATTATTTGGGAATTATTCCGGAATTCCACCCCTCTCTTCCCCACCTGTCGGAAAAAGGATTCCCCATTTCCCCAGATTCCAAGATCCCGGCAAATCCTTGAGGACGCCCCTTAAATCCGATCGATTTTCCTTCACCTTTGGACAGAATTCCAAGTTTTTGGGGTTTTTTTGGCAGCACAGGGAGCGAAAGTTGAACTTTTTCCTGGAGCAAAAGTTGGGATTTCCTGGGGCTTCCATGATTTCGGGAATTCTGCCTCCCGAAAAATGGGGAGAAATATCCTGGAGCAGCCAGGGGGAGACCTGGAGATCATTCCCAGCTTTTCCCTTCGCCCAGCGGCGCTCCCTGCTCCCCCCACACCGGGGCGGTTTTGGGGGTTTTTGGGGGAATTTAGGGAATTTTCTTTGCTGGATTCCCGGAGCCGGGAATGCGGGAAGGGAGCGGAGCCCAAATCCCTGCGCTCGCTGCCAGCCCCATCTATCGACAGCGGCCGGCGCTGCGCCCCGGGAGGCGCGTCTGGGATTTGGGAACACGCGGGGATTTGGGATCCTGCAGGGATTTGGGAGCCCGCAGGGATTTGGGAACACATGGGGATTTGGAATCTCGTGGGGATTTGGGAACCTGTGGGGATTTGGGAACCCGTGGGGGTTTGGTATCCTGTGGGGATTTGGAAACCTGTGGGGATTTGGGAATCCGCAGGGATTTGGGATCTCGTGGGGATTTGGGATCCTGCGGGGGTTTGGGATCCTGCGGGGATTTGGGGACCCGTGGGGATTTGGGAACCCGTGGGGATTTGGGAATCCGCAGGGATTTGGGATCTCGTGGGGATTTGGGAACCCGCAGGGATTTGGGAATACAAGGGAATTTGGGAATCCGCAGGGATTTGGGATCTCGTGGGGATTTGGGAACCCGCAAGGATTTGGGAACCTGTGGGGATTTGGGATCCTGTAAGGATTTGGGAACCCGTGGGGATTTGGGAATCCGCAGGGATTTGGGAACCCGTGGGGATTTGGGAATCCGCAGGGATTTGGGAACCCGTGGGGATTTGGGAACCCGCAGGGATTTGGGATCCTGCAGGGATTTGGGATCTCGTGGGGATTTGGGAACCCATGGGGATTTGCCCACTCCATCCCACAGGAGGGAGGGGAGATTTTTGGCAATTCCCGCTGGGTTGGTGCCGTTCCTTTCCGCTCTTCCCTCAAAACCCATCCTAGCGCAAACCCAGCTCTTTTGGGGCAGCCCCAAACATCCCAAAAATCCCCTCCTGTGGCAACCCCGGCTCTTTTGGGGCTGCCCCAAACATCCCAAAAATCCCCTCCTCTGGCAACCCCGGCTCTTTTGGGGCTGCCCTTCTCCCAGCCACCCCAAAAAACCCATCCTGTGGCAAACCTGACTCTTTTGGGGCTGCCCCAAATATCCCAAAAAATCCCATCCTGTGGCAACCCCGGCTCTTTTGGGGCTCTCCTACTCCCAGCGCCCCAAACCAACCCATCCTACAGCAACCCTGACACTTTTGGGGCTGCCCCAAATATCCCAAAAAATCCCATCCTGTGGCAAACCTGACTCTTTTGGGGCTCTCCTACTCCCAGCACCCCAAACCAACCCATCCTACAGCAAACCCTGATTCTTTTGGGGCAACCCCAAAACATCCCACAAAACCCAACCTACAGCAACCCTGACACTTTTGGGGCTGCCCCAAATATCCCAAAAAATCCCATCCTGTGGCAAACCTGACTCTTTTGGGGCTCTCCTACTCCCAGCACCCCAAACCACCCCATCCTACAGCAAACCCTGATTCTTTTGGGGCAACCCCAAAACATCCCACAAAACCCATCCTACAGCAACCCTGACACTTTTGGGGCTGCCCCAAACACCCCAAAACCCCTATCCTAGACCCCCCCATCTCTTTTGGGCTGTCCTCCTCCCAGCACCCCAAAAACCCCCATCCTACACCCCCCCCCCATCTCTTTTGGGCTGTCCTCCTCCCAGCACCCCAAAAACCCCCATCCTACACCCCCCCCCCATCTCTTTTGGGGCTGCCCTCCTCCCAGCACCCCAAAAACCCCATCCTACACCCCCCCATCTCCTTTGGGGCTGCCCCAAACACCCCAAAACCCCTATCCTAGACCCCCCGGGCTCCCCCGAAGGCGCCGCCCCCCGACGTGCCCCTGCGGCTCCTGGTGCCCACCCAGTTCGTGGGGGCCATCATCGGCAAGGAGGGGGCCACCATCCGCAACATCACCAAGCAGACCCAGTCCAAGTGAGTCCCCAAGGGGTGGGAGGGGGGCAGCCAGGGGTCTCCAGGGGTCTCCAGGGGGTCTCCAGGGGTCTCCTGGGGGTCTCCAGGTGTTATCCAGGGGTTCTCCAGAGGTTCTCCAAGATTTCTCCAAGGCTGATCCAGGGGTTCTCAAGGGGTAACCCAAGGCTTCTCCAGAAGTTGTCCAGGGGTGATCCAAAGGTTTTCCAGAGGTTCTCCAGGGGATCTCCAGGGGTGATCCAAAGGTTTTCCAGAGGTTCTCCAGGACTTTTGATCCAGGGGTGATCCAGGGGGTCTCCAGAGGTTTTCCAGGGGTGATCCAGGGATTCTCCAGGGTTCTCCAGGACTTCTCCAGAGGTTCTCCAGGGCTTGCCAGGGGATCTCCAGAGGTTCTCCAGGGGTGAACCAGAGGGATCAGCAGGGGTGATCCAGAGGTTCTCCAGGAATGATCCAGGGGATCTCCAGAGGTTCTCCAGAGGTTCTCCAGAGGTGATCCAGGGGATCTCCAGATGTTCTCCAGGGGTGATCCAGGGGATCTCCAGATGTTCTCCAGGGGTGATCCAGGGGATCTCCAGGGGTGATCCAGAGGGATCTCCAGGGGTGATCCAGGGATTATCCAGGGTTCTCCAGGACTTCTCCAGAGGTTCTCCAGGGCTTGCCAGGGGATCTCCAGAGGTTCTCCAGGGGTGAACCAGAGGGATCAGCAGGGGTGATCCAGAGGTTCTCCAGGGATGATCCAGGGGATCCCCAGAGGTTCTCCAGGGCTTGCCAGGGGATCTCCAGAGGTTCTCCAGGGGTGATCCAGGGGATCTCCAGAGGTGATCCAGGGGTGAACCAGAGGGATCAACAGGGGTGATCCAGAGGTTCTCCAGGGATGATCCAGGGGATCTCCAGGGGTTTTCCAGAGGATCTCCAGAGGTGATCCAGGGGATCTCCAGAGGTTCTCCAGGGGCTCTACAGAATTCTCCCTCCCCTTGCTGGGATATGACTTTCGGGGGGGCTCCAGGGCCTCTCCCAGCGCGCATCCCGCGGTTTCCAGGATCGACGTGCACAGGAAGGAGAACGCGGGCGCGGCCGAGAAGGCCATCAGCATCCACTCCACGCCCGAGGGCTGCTCGGCCGCCTGCAGGATGATCCTGGACATCATGCACAAGGAGGCCAAGGACACCAAGACGTGAGAACCCCCAGATCCCACCCCAGGAACCTCCCGGCTCTGTGCCCCAGGAATTTTGGGTTTGGGGGCTCCGAGCCTTGGGGTTTGGGCTTCCTCCAGCCCTCCGTGCCAACCCCTCCTTTCCCAGATCCCACAGTCCCTCCTTTTGGGTTTTTCCTCCTTTCCCAGGTTCCACCTGTTGGGTTTTCCCTCCTTTCTCAACTTCCACAATCCCCTGCTTTTGGGTTTTCCCTCCTTTCCCATTCCCATAATGCCTCCTTTTGGGTTTCTGCCCCTTGGGGTTTGGGCTTCCTCCAGCCCTCCGTGCCAACCCCTCCTTTCCCAGATCCCACAGTCCCTCCTTTTGGGTTTTTCCTCCTTTCCCAGGTTCCACCTGTTGGGTTTTCCCTCCTTTCTCAACTTCCACAATCCCCTGCTTTTGGGTTTTCCCTCCTTTCCCATTCCCCTAATGCCTCCTTGTGGGTTTTCTCTCCTTTCCCATTCCCTTAAGGCCTCCATTTGGGTTTTCCCTCCTTCCCCATTCCCATAATGCCTCGTTTTAGGTTTTCCCTCGTTTCCCATTCCCATTATGCCTCGTTTTGGGTTTTCCCTCCTTCCCCATTCCCATAATGCCTCGTTTTAGGTTTTCCCTCGTTTCCCATTCCCATTATGCCTCGTTTTGGGTTTTCCCTCCTTCCCCATTCCCATAATGCCTCGTTTTAGGTTTTCCCTCGTTTCCCATTCCCATTATGCCTCGTTTTGGGTTTTCCCTCCTTCCCCATTCCCATAATGCCTCGTTTTAGGTTTTCCCTCGTTTCCCATTCCCATTATGCCTCGTTTTGGGTTTTCCCTCCTTCCCCATTCCCATAATGCCTCGTTTTAGGTTTTCCCTCGTTTCCCATTCCCATTATGCCTCGTTTTGGGTTTTCCCTCCTTCCCCATTCCCATAATGCCTCGTTTTGGGTTTTCCCTCCTTTCCCATTCCCATAATTCCTTGTTTCGGGTTTTCCCTCCTTTCCCATTCCCTTAAGGCCTCCATTTGGGTTTTCCCTCCTTCCCCATTCCCATAATGCCTCCTTTTGGGTTTTCCCTCCTTTCCCAGTTCCCATAATGCCTCGTTTTGGGTTTTCCCTCCTTTCCCCATTCCCCTAATGCCTCCTTTTGGGTTTTCCCTCCTTTCCCATTCCCATAATGCCTCGTTTTGGGTTTTCCCTCCTTTCCCTATTCCCATAATGCCTCGTTTTGGGTTTTCCCTCCTTTCCCTGTTCCCATAATGCCTCCTTTTGGGTTTTCCCTGCTTTCCCAGCTGCCCTAATCCCTCCTGTGGGGTTTTCCCCCCGTCCCCATTCCCGTTCTCAGGGCTGACGAGGTCCCCCTGAAGATCCTGGCCCACAACAACTTTGTGGGGCGCCTGATCGGCAAAGAGGGCCGGAACCTCAAGAAGGTGGAGCAGGACACGGAGACCAAAATCACCATTTCCTCGTAAGGATAGGGGCAGGATCTCCTCACGCTGGGCAGGAGGAGGAGGATGGGAATGGGGGAGAGGTTTTAGTCCCCAAATTCTCTCGGGGATCCTTGGTGTTGGGTTTTCTGTGCTCCCCTTTCCCGTCCCCTTCGGGGTCCCTTCCCACGGCTCTGGGGTGCCCCGGGTGTGTCCCCGTGTCCCCACGGCCGCTGTCCCCAGGCTGCAGGAGCTGACCCTCTACAACCCCGAGCGCACCATCACGGTCAAGGGCTGTCCCGAGAGCTGCTGCCGCGCCGAGCAGGAGATCATGAAGAAAGTGCGCGAGGCCTACGAGAACGACGTGGCCGCCATGAGCGTGAGTGGGGCCGGCCCGCGGGGGATCCCCTAAACCGGGGGGATCCCATAAACCGGGCGATCCCCTAAACCAGGGGGATCCCCTAAACCGGGGATCCCATAAACCGGGGGGATCCCCTAAACCGGGGGGATCCCCTAAACTGGGGATCCCATAAACCGGGGGGATCCCCTAAACCAGCGCCCCTCCCGTCCCCGGCGTGGTCCTGCCTCGTCCCCGATCCCATTCCTCCCCTCAATTCAATCCTGCTCATCCCAGATTTTGGTTCCCCTCACTTCAATCCCCTGACCCCATATTTTGGTTTCCCTCAATCCAAATCCCCTAACTCCATATTTTGGTCTCCTCAATTCAATCCAAATCCCCAATCCCATATTTTGTTTTCCCTCAGTTACAATCCCCCATATCCCATATTTTGGCTCCCTCAATTCAATCCGAATCCCATATCCCATATTTTGGTTTCCCTCAGTTACAATCCCAATCCCCATATCCCATATTTTGGTTCCCTCAGTTCAATCCCAATCCCATATCCCATATTTTGGTTCAATCCCAATCCCCATATCCCATATTTTGGTTCCCTCAATTCAATCCCAATCCCATATCCCATATTTTGGTTCAATCCCAATCCCCATATCCCATATTTTGGTTATCCGAATCCCATATCCCATATTTTGGTTTCCCTCAGTTACAATCCCAATCCCCATATCCCATATTTTGGTTCCCTCAATTCAATCCCAATCCCATATCCCATATTTTGGTTCAATCCCAATCCCCATATCCCATATTTTGGTTCCCTCAATTCAATCCCAATCCCATATCCCATATTTCGGTTCAATCCCAATCCCATATCCCATATTTTGGTTCAATCCCAATCCCATATCTCATATTTTGGTTTCCCTCAGATCAATCCCAATCCCCATATCCCATATTTTGGTTTCCCTCAGTTCAATCCCAATCCCATATCACATATTTTGGTTCAATCCCAATCCCCAATCCCATATTTTGGTCCCCTCAGCTGCAGTCCCACCTCATTCCCGGGCTGAACCTGGCCGCCGTCGGGCTCTTCCCGGCCTCCTCCACGGCGGTGCCGCCGCCCCCGAGCGGCGTCTCCGGGGCCGCTCCCTACAGCTCCTTCCTGGTGAGTGACCCCGGTGCCAGGGGGGCGTCCCCGTGGAGCCCCCGGGATGGGCAGTGACCCCCAGGACATTCCGATGGAAACCCTGGGGTGGGCAGTGACCCCCAGGACGTTCACATGGGACCCCCGGGATGGGCAGTGACCCCCGGCAGCGCCTGCTCCCAGCTCCAGGATGTGACAGTGACCCCAAACAGTGACACTGACCCCAAATGGTGACAGTAACCCCAAAATGGTGACAGTGACCCCAAACATTGACACTGACCCCAAACATTGACACTGACCCCAAACAGTGACACTGACCCCAAACATTGACAGTGACCCCAAACAGTGACACTGACCCCAAATATTGACAGTGACCCCAAAATGGTGACCCTGGCCCCAAAATGGTGACAGTGCCCCCAAAGGGTGACAGTGCCCCCAAATGGTGACAGTGACCCCAAATACTGACACTGACCCCAAATGGTGACACTGACCCCAAACATTGACAGTGACCCCAAACAGTGACACTGACCCCAAATATTGACAGTGACCCCAAAATGCTGACCCTGGCCCCAAAATGGTGACAGTGCCCCCGGAGGGTGACAGAGCCCCCAAAGGGTGACCCTGGCCCCCAAAGGGTGACCCTGGCCCCCTCCCGTCCCGCAGCCCCCCGAGCAGGAGACCGTGCACGTGTTCATCCCGGCGCAGGCGGTCGGGGCCATCATCGGCAAGAAGGGCCAGCACATCAAGCAGCTCTCGCGCTTCGCCAGCGCCTCCATCAAGGTGGGCGTGGCCCTCGGTGGCCCTTGGGTGGCCCTCTGTCCCCAACTGTCCTGGTTTTTCTGGGAAAAGCCCCGGGAAGCCCAGGCGGGGCTGTAGCGCCATGTCCGTCACATGTCTGTCCTGTGTCCATCCCATGTCCATCCATCCATGTCCATCCATGTCCATCCATGTCCATCCATGTCCATCCATGTCCATCCATGTCCATCCATGTCCATCCATGTCCATCCATGTCCATCCATGTCCATCCATGTCCATCCTGTATCCATCCATGTCCATCCATTCCATCCATGTCCATCCTGTGTCCATCCATCCATTCCATCCCATGTCCATCCATATCTATCCTGTGTCCATCCTGTGTCCATCCCATGCCCATCCATCCATATCCATCCATGTCCATCCCGTGTCTGTCCCATGCTCATCCATGTCCATCCATGTCCATCCCACGTCCATCCATGCATTCCATCCATGTCCATCCTGTGTCCATCCTGTGTCCATCCCATGTCCATCCACCCATTCCATCCCATGTCCATCCATGCCTATCCTGTGTCCATCCTGTGTCCATCCCATGCCCATCCATCCATATCCATCCATGTCCATCCCGTGTCTGTCCCATGCTCATCCATGTCCATCCATGTCCTTCCCGTGTCCATCCCATGTCCATCCATGTCTGTCCCGTGTCCATCCCGTGTCCGTCCCGTTGCAGATCGCGCCCCCGGAGACGCCGGACTCCAAAGTGCGCATGGTGGTGATCACCGGCCCGCCCGAGGCGCAGTTCAAGGTTGTCACTGCTGTCACCTCCCTGGGGACGTCGGGGTGTCCCCGGGAGGGAGGGCAGGGGGACCCCAACCCAACGCCAGCCCACAGCTGGGGAATTCCAGGATTGGGTTTCCCAGGGGCTGAGTGGGTTTGGATTTCCAGCAAACTGGGATTTTACGGGATCCCAAATCCATGGAGGGAGTTTGGGGTGGGACATTCCCAACTCCCTGCTCCCAGGGGCCAAACGGGTTCAGAATTCCAACGAACCAGGATTTTACGGGATCCCAAATCCACGGACGGAGTTTGGGGTGGGACATTCCCAACTCCCTGCTCCCAGGAGCCAAACAGAATTCCAAAGAACTGGGATTTTATGGGATCCCAAATCCATGGAGGGAATTTGGGGTGGGACATTCCTGACTTTACCTCTCTGCAGATGCAGGGCAGGATTTGTGGGAAACCCCATCCCAAATCCATAGACGGAGTTTGGGGTGGGACATTCCCAACTCCCTGCTCCCAGGGGCTGAGTGTGTTTGGAATTCCAAAGAACTGGGATTTTACGGGATCCCAAATCCACGGATGGAGTTTGGGGTGGGACATTCCCAACTCCCTGCTCCCAGGGGCTGAGCAGGTTCACAATTCCAACAAATCAGGATTTTATGGGATCCCAAATCCATAGATAGAGTTTGGGGTGGGACGTTCCCAACTCCCTGCTCCCAGGGGCTGAGCAGGTTCACAATTCCAACGAACCGGGATGTTACGGGATCCCAAATCCACGGATGGAGTTTGGGGTGGGACATTCCCAACTCCCTGCTCCCAGGGGCCAAACGGGTTCACAATTCCAACAAACCGGGGTTTTACGGGACCCCAAATCCATGGATGGAGTTTGGGGTGGGACATTCCCAACTCCCTGCTCCAAGGGGCCAAACGGGTTTGGAATTCCAACAAACCGGGATTTTACGGGATCCCAAATCCATGGACGGAGTTTGGGGTGGGACATTCCCAACTCCCTGCTCCCAGGGGCTGAGCGGGTTCAGTATTCCAACGAACCGGGATTTTACGGGACCCCAAATCCATGGATGGAGTTTGGGGTGGGACATTCCCAACTCCGTCCCTCTCCAGGCGCAGGGCAGGATTTACGGGAAGCTGAAGGAGGAGAACTTCTTCGGGCCCAAGGAGGAGGTGAAGCTGGAGACGCACATCCGCGTGCCGGCCTCGGCCGCCGGCCGCGTCATCGGCAAGGGCGGCAAGACCGTGAGTGGGAACGGGGACGGAATTCCCGGGAGGGCGGCCGGTACGCTCCGGAGGGTTCATCCCGGCGTGTCCCCGCAGGTGAACGAGCTGCAGAACCTGACGGCGGCCGAGGTGGTGGTGCCGCGGGAGCAGACCCCGGACGAGAACGAGCAGGTCATCGTCAAGATCATCGGGCACTTCTACGCCAGCCAGGTACGGCCGGGGTGATCCGGGGCCATCCAAAAGTTCTCCAGAGGTTTTCCAGGGGTTTTCCAAGGTTTTTCCAGAGGTTGTCCAGGAAGCTGGAGACGCACATCCGCGTGCCGGCCTCGGCCGCCGGCCGCGTCATCGGCAAGGGCGGCAAGACTGTGAGTGGGAACGGGGACGGAATTCCCGGGAGGGCGGCCGGGACGCTCCCGGAGGAGGGTTCATCCCGGCGTGTCCCCGCAGGTGAACGAGCTGCAGAACCTGACGGCGGCCGAGGTGGTGGTGCCGCGGGAGCAGACCCCGGACGAGAACGAGCAGGTCATCGTCAAGATCATCGGGCACTTCTACGCCAGCCAGGTACGGCCGGGGTGATCCGGGGCCATCCAAAAGTTCTCCAGAGGTTCTCCAGAGGTTCTCCAAGGTTTTTCCAGAGGTTGTCCAGGAGATCTCCAGAGGTTCTCCAGGGGTTTTCCAAGGTTTTTCCAGAGGTTGTCCAGGAGATCTCCAGAAGTTGTCCAGGGGATCTCCAGAGGTTCTCCAGGGTTCTCCAGGACTTCCCCAGAGGTTGTCCAGGGGTTCTCCAAGGTTTTTCCAGAGGTTGTTTCAGGGGTTCTTCAAGGCTTTTCCAGAGGTCGTCCAGAGGTTCTCCAAGGCTTTTCCAGGGGTGCTCCAGGGTTCTCCAGGGGTCCTCCAGGACTTCCCCAGAGGTTGTCCAGGGGTTCTCCAAGGTTTTTCCAGAGGTTGTCCAAGGCTTTTACAGGGGTTCTCCAGAGGTTCTCCAGGGGTCCCCCAGGGGTTCTCCAGGACTTCTCCAGGGGTTCTCCAAGGTTTTTCCAGAGGTTGTCCAAGGCTTTTCCAGGGGTTCTCCAGAGGTTCTCCAGGGGTCCCCCAGGGGTTCTCCAGGACTTCTCCAGGGGTTCTCCAAGGTTTTTCCAGGGGTCCTCCAGAGGTTCTCCAAGGCTTTTCCAGGGGTTCTCCAAGGTTCCCCCAGGGGTTCTCCAGGACTTCTCCAGGGGTTCTCCAAGGTTTTTCCAGAGGTTGCCCAGGGGTTCTTCAGGGGTGTGTTGCTCAGACTGCACATTTTTGGTCGTTATCCCATGCATCCCATCTGTTATTCCCAGAAAAAACCACGGGAGAACCTTGGGGCAGGAGCTGGCTTTGGGTGGAATTTCCAATAAAAGGGGTTTCACGGGGAAGTTGGGATGGGGCTGGGAGCAGGCGGGGGCGGGGATGGCAGCATTCCATGAATCCCTGGCTGTCGTTCCCAGATGGCTCAGCGCAAGATCCGGGACATCCTGGCGCAGGTGAAGCAGCAGCACCAGAAGGGCCAGGGCGGCCAGAGCCAATCCCGGAGGAAATAGGGAGCCCAAATCCCGGGAGAACGAGGACACGGCACGGCCGGGCCGGGCTCCGAGTGCCTGGGAATCAGCAACCGCAGGGAGACGGGGATCGGGAATCCGCGGGGACTGGGAATCCGCGGGGATCGGGAACGGACAGGGATCAGGAATCCGCGGGGATTGGGAATCCGCAGGGATTGGGAATCCATGGGGATTTTGAATGGACAGGGATCGGGAACGGACAGGGATCAGGAATGTGCAAGGATAGGGAAGGGACAGGGACTGGGAATGGACAAGGACTGGGAATGGACAAGGATCGGGAATCCGCAGGGATTGGGAACGTGCAGGGATCGGGAATGTGCAGGGATCGGGAATGTGCAGGGATCGGGAATGGACAGGGATTGGGAATGTGCAGGGATTGGGAATGTACAGGGATTGGGAATGTGCAGGGATTGGGAATGGACTGGGATCGGGAATAGACGAATCCGCGGGGATTGGGAATCTGCAGGGATCGGGAACGGACAGGGATCAGGAATCCGCGGGGATTGGGAATCCGCAAGGATCGGGAATCCATGGGAATCGGGAACAGACAGGGATTGGGAATCCGCAGGGATCAGGAACGGACAGGGATCGGGAATCTGCGGGGATTGGGAATCCGCAGGGATCTTGAATCCATGGGAATCGGGAACAGACAGGGATCGGGAATCCGCAGGCATTGGGAATCCGCAGGCATTGGGAATCCGCAGGGATCAGGAATCCGCAGGGATCGGGAACGGACAGGGATCGGGAATCCGCAGGAATCGGGAACGGACAGGGATTGGGAATGGACAAGGACTGGGAATGTGCAGGGATTGGGAATGTGCAGGGATCAGGAACGGACAGGGATTGGGAATGGACAGGGATCGGGAATAGACAGGAATTGGGAATGGGTAGGGATCAGGAATGGACAGGGATTGGGAATGTGCAGGGATTGGGAATGGACAAGGACTGGGAATGTGCAGGGTTTAAGAACCCACAGGGCTCAGGAATCCGCAGGGACTGGGAATCCCTTCCACAGGGATTGGGAATGTGAAGGGATCGGGAATGGACAGGGATTGAGAACGTGCAGGGATCAGGAATGTGCAGGGATTGGGAATGGACAGGGATCGGGAATGGACAGGGATTGGGAACGTGCAGGGATCAGGAATGTACAGGGTATAGGAACCCACAGGGCTCAGGAATCCGCAGGGACTGGGAATCCCTTCCACAGGGATTGGGAATTTCATCCCCCAGCAGGATTGGGAATTCCATTGGGAATCGCATCCCCAAAGAAACCCCCACGGAATTCCTCATCTCCATCATCAGAATTTGGGAATTCCGTGCAGGAGGGATCGGGAGGAGCTGGAAAGAGCAGGAAAATCCCACCAGGAATTCTGAATCCACTTAAATCTGGGGCTCCTCGTTCCCAAAATCCCCAAATTCCTCATTTCTGCAGGAAAATCCCTGTTCCCAAGAGAGAAAAAAGCGGATTTCAGGAATGTCAGCGGGCGCTGATTCCCGGCACTCCAGGGGGGTTGAAAGGATTTGGGATTTTGGGAATATTTTGGGAAGAGTCTGAAGCCGCCACTTCCCGCCAAGGGCTGGGCTCCAGGAATTCCAGCCCCAAAATCGGGGATTTTCCAGGGTTTTCCCCCAAAATGGGAAGGGGAGGGCGGGAAAGGAAAATTGGGATGGAATTGGAGGGGAGGGGTGAAGGAAAAAAGCTGGGAGCGACCCCAAGAAAAAAAAAAAAAAGGGAATTTGGGAGAAAAAGGGAAATTTGGGTTGAGTTTGGAGGGACAGGAATGGTGGAAGAAAAGCTGGGATGTGAAAAAGTGGGAATTTGGGACAAAATGTGAAAAAAAGTAAAATTGGGATGAATTTTGAGGGAGGAGGAGGACGGGATTGTTCCCAAACGAGGTTAAAAAAGTGGGAATTTGGGATAAAAAACCTGAAATTGGGATGGATTTTGAGGGTCAGGAGCGATGGGAGGAAAATTGGGATGAGTCAAAAAATGGGGAATTCGGGACAAACCCGGCCCCGACGCTTTTGCCGTCGATTTAACGGAGCCCAGCCCTTCCCAGCAGGAATTTTGGGGGAAAATCCTCCAAAAACCCTCCTGGAAAAGCAGATTTAGGGAAGGGAAGGTCGGCGGAGGGAATTCCCTGGAATTCTGCCAATCCAGGGGGAAAAAAAAAAAAAAACAACCCCGGAATGACAAAAAAACCACAAAAAAAAAGCTCAAAAAAAGCTACCTCAGGTGTGATTACCTCAGCTATGGAATATTCTGATTTTTTTTGGGTTGTTTTCACTTTATTTTGGGGGTTTTTTTCGGGGGGCTTTTCGCTGATATTTTATATAAGAGGTGCTAACGGGGAAGATTTTATTTTTTTAATGAAAAAGAGAAAAAAAAAAGAGAATTTTTTTTGGGAAATTTTTTTATGGAAGAATCCGGGCGTTCCGGAGAGAACGCCGGGAATTCTGGACTTAGTGGAAAAGATGGCAGCAGCTTCCTTAGTTTTGATATTTTTAGGGAATTTTTTGTGCCCTTTCCCAGCTGAGGAATTTCAGCTCTCAGGCATCGTCGCTCTCCAAAAAAAAAAAAATCCGGGAAAATCCCAAATTTGGTTTTCCCAGTGGGAAAAACTTGAATTTTTTTATTTTTTTTTCCTTTCTTTTTTTTTTTTAATTTTAATTTTTTATTTTTTTTCCCGGGGATTTCAAGGGGTAAAAACCAAACCCGAACCCGGCGCCGGCTGAAGGGATTTTCCCAATCGGATTCAGCCAAATCTGTGGATTTTTTTGGGAATTTTTCCACTCCTGGGCAGCATTTTCTATGCAAAGTGGGGTAAAAAAAAAAAGGGTTTTTTGTGCTGGTTTTATTTTCACACTCTCGGAAGCCATAAAGAGATTTTTTTTCTATATTTGATAGAAAATTCCTAAAGATCCCAGAATCCCAAGGCGATCCCGGAATTCCCGGAATTCCAGGGGTTGGTGTCGATCCATCTTCTCCACTATGGTGCTGTGAAATTTAAAATAAATGTAAAAAACCAAAAAAAAACCCAAAAAAAACCAAAAACCACACAAAAAAAATTATTTTAAAAGATTTTTTTTTTTTTGCCTCCGTTTTACTGAGGGAAAAAAAAAATGATTAAAGGAAGACATTAATTAAAGAAAATGAATGAACGAGGCTAATTAAAATGAAATTACTTTTAAAAAGGGAAGATAATTTTTAAAAAGGAAAAAATAATTTTAAAAAAGGAAAAAAATAATCTAGAAAAAAGGAAAAAAAAAGTAATTTTAAAACCTGAAAGTTTATTTAAAAAAAAGGAAAAAAAAATTTTTAAAAAAAGTTTAAAAAAAGCTTAAAAATATTAAAATTCATTTTTTAAAAAGGACGAGGAGGGAGAGAAATTAATTAATGAATTCCTTCATTAAGCGGGAGCCAATTTGTATTCCCTACAAACGCACAGGGAGGAGGGAGAGGAGAATTCCTGACCTGAGCACGGGCACGGATCGGCCTCTCCCTGCTCCAAAACCTCCCCAGGGTGATTGTTCCTGGGGAAATCCCTGATTTTTCAGGACAAAATCCCTTTTTTTCCTTGAGGAAATCCATTTTTAGGGTGAAATCCCTGATTTTTCAGGACAAAATCCCTTTTTTTCCTTGAGGAAATCCATTTTTAGGGTGAAATCCCTGATTTTTCAGGACAAAAATCCCTTGTTTCCTCCCAAAAAAAACCAAAAACCACACAAAAAAAATTATTTTAAAAGATTTTTTTTTGCCTCCGTTTTACCGAGGGAAAAAAAAAATAATTAAAGGAAGACATTAATTAAAGAAAATGAATGAACGAGGCTAATTAAAATGAAATGACTTTTAAAAAGGGAAGATAATTTTTAAAAAGGAAAAAATAATTTTAAAAAAGGAAAAAAATAATCTAGAAAAAAAGGAAAAAAAAAAGTAATTTTAAAACCTGAAAGATTTATTTAAAAAAAGGAAAAAAATAATTTTAAAAAAAGTTTAAAAAAAGCTTAAAAATATTAAAATTCATTTTTTAAAAAGGACGAGGAGGGAGAGAAATTAATTAATGAATTCCTTCATTAAGCGGGAGCCAATTTGTATTCCCTACAAACGCACAGGGAGGAGGGAGAGGAGAATTCCTGACCTGAGCACGGGCACGGATCGGCCTCTCCCTGCTCCAAAACCTCCCCAGGGTGATTGTTCCTGGGGACATCCCTGATTTTTCAGGACAAAATCCCTTTTTTTCCTTGATGAAATCCATTTTTAGGGTGAAATCCCAATTATTTTCCTTGGTGAAATCCCTTTTTTCCTTGATGAAATCCATTTTTAGAGTGAAATCCCTGATTTTTCAGGACAAAATCCCTTTTTTTCCTTGATGAAATCCATTTTTAGGGTGAAATCCCTGATTTTTCAGGACAAAAATCCCTTGTTTCCTTGATGAAATCCATTTTTAGGGTGAAATCCCTGATTTTTCAGGACAAAAATCCCTTGTTTCCTTGATGAAATCCATTTTTAGGGTGAAATCCCTGATTTTTCAGGACAAAATCCCTTTTTTTCCTTGATGAAATCCATTTTTAGGGTGAAATCCCTGATTTTTCAGGACAAAATCCCTTTTTTTCCTTGATGAAATCCATTTTTAGGGTGAAATCCCTGATTTTTCAGGACAAAATCCCTTTTTTTCCTTGATGAAATCCATTTTTAGGGTGAAATCCCTGATTTTTCAGGACAAAATCCCTTTTTTTCCTTGATGAAATCCATTTTTAGGGTGAAATCCCTGATTTTTCAGGACAAAATCCCTTTTTTTCCTTGATGAAATCCATTTTTAGGGTGAAATCCCTGATTTTTCAGGACAAAATCCCTTTTTTTCCTTGATGAAATCCATTTTTAGGGTGAAATCCCTGATTTTTCAGGACAAAATCCCTTTTTTTCCTTGATGAAATCCATTTTTAGGGTGAAATCCCTGATTTTTCAGGACAAAATCCCTTTT